GTTTTTCCAACATGGCAAATTTCCTGTTGGGTTTACAGAAACATGCTAATGGACTTTTTTGTGCGGCACGAGTTGTTACACATGTGTGGTGAAGTTCGTAGGTGGAGGTGAAACGTAGCCTCGATGGGACCCTGTTGAAATATTGTAGGGGGCGCAGTTGACCCATGTTGCATTTTACAGCTTGGAGCAGGGAGAGTTTTTTGTTCGTGCCGACCAGCTCTATATGCCTATGAAATTGCGTAGCTCTATGGCAAACGTGCTTCGGACAGGACTCCATTGAAATTTTCAAGGTGGCACTGTGGAGCCATTTTTGCCGTGACATGTCCACGTCTTTGATAGTTTCTGATTTCCGCCAGTCCCGATGTGCGTGGCAATTTTGGTGACTTTTCGAGTACGTTTAGGCCCTCAAAAACGCGTTTGATTCGGCTGAACTATAATAAGAAGAAGAAGAATCACAAGGGTTTCAATAGGGTCCTTGCACCGGAGTGCTCGGACCCTAATAAGCACAATAAGTGTAATGTTATCTGTGAGGAGTTAATAGAATTAGGAGACCAAGTCCAATCTTAATGTCTCTCCGAAGTGAAACCAGTCCTCTGATGCTTCAGCAAAGCCCTGCCTACACACTGATAAGCTCTTTAGTCATGGCCAATAATCTCCCTGAATAACTTTCTCAAGAGTGAACTTTAACCATTTTCATTATCATCCAACTCGAGTGAACTTTGTGCCTGTGGATCCACTGAACAACACTGAGGAGTAGCAGCAGGAATGAGAAAAACGGCTTCTCATTTCAGTTAGACGCACTTTCTGTTAACATGAAGGCCTTTGGATGAATCAGCTTCACAACATCTGGGGAAGGTGAGCGGCCACAGACTGAAATCAGATGTGAAATCCGAATTAAAACGAGGGCGTGTGTGTTATAATTTGCTCGCAGGAATAACATATGGCTTGGAAACCGTTCAACATCCATTCTGTCTTCCAACGAGTTTTTCTTCCACAACAGATGACGCAAAACATGTTTCAGGAAGGGCTGTACCAAGTGTTTTTTAAGGAGGCGCCCCCGACCCGCCCAGGGACCCAGGCTGCCAATGATGGGGAGCTGAGCAATGCCAGGATTCATAGCTGGTTTGGGACTGTGGTGAACACCAGACTTTTAGTCTCTGGGGTAAGATTCTTGCGGCTGTCCAAACTACTGATTTTTTTATTGTATGTTCAACCATTTAAACCCCTCCACCTGCTTGGTACTGTGTGTTTCCTCCCCCCTCAGGTGATTCAAGTCCTCAGCGCCTTAGCTTGTATACTGAGCACAATCAGCCACGCATGTGTGAGCTACGAGTGCTCTGTCTCCATGATGATGCCAGTATGGTCAAGCATATTTGTGAGTCCACATCTGGATCAGCTCATATGCGCTCTGGGATTTCTTTCTCTTTTTTTTTGACAAAGAGACAAATAACACATCATACATGTCTTTGCTGTTACAGTATTTGGCTGCTGGCTGTTTGGCGATGGAGGTTCAGAGGAAAGCTAGTAAAGTGAAGGTAATAACAGTTTCTCATGTAATGCTTGTTTTTTTTTTTTTACTCATGGACTGATGCTTCATTTTATGTTTCCACCAACCAGATCATCACTCTGATGGCTCTGAACCTCTTCAGTCTTCTGTTTGGATTCTCTGCCCTGCTGGTGAACAGCATCAGATCTGGACACCCTGTTGCACTCAACACATTCCAGATGGTAACTGTGAAATATGCTTGAATCTGTATTTACACAGATCCTATAAAGCTTTTCTGTCTGGATCTTTGCTCAAGATATCCATTATCTCCATCCATCCATCCATTATCTACACACCGCTTAACCCTCAGTAGGGTCGTTGGGGGGGCTGGAGTTTATCCCAGCTGACTCAGGTGTTGCTCAAGATATGTGAACTTAAAACACCGACTTTGTGTATTCCAGCGCGTCGGTTCATCCATTGCGAGGGCCACCACCATAACATTCACCGTTCAGTGTTTTCTGGCGTCCGTCTACATATCGTTCCTGTCCTGGAGAGGCCTGCGTCGCTACAGTTCGCCCCACGTTCAGGCCTACAGCCGCGTCTCACAGGTACACATGTATAGAACAGACCAAGAGATGTTGTTCATCATTAACTTGGCTGCTTTACTCATTTCCAGTTCTAAAGAATGCTGGTGTGCTTCTGAAATACAGTTTAACTCTGTGAGCTGAGAGATGACGTTGACGGATGTTGAATCATTTCATGGGCAGCCAGTTTGAGGAAGAACAATAATCAGCCTGGATTATCGTAGATTATTGGATCTGACGTGGCCTCCATGTGTGTTTCTTGACAGGATCCTGAAGACACCAACGGGCCTCTGCTGGAAAATATGGAGCACAATCTGTGAAACTCGGCTGAAATCTCTGCTCAGATTCGTTGGTTTTGCGCAACACAGTGTTTTGGACATGTGAGGAAACATCAAGTCACCTGATTCAGTAGAACCACCTCAGTATCACTTCTCTTTTGGGGTTTTCGTGAACTCATTTGCTAAAATAATGGAGAAGTGGATGAGCAAATGGGAAAGCTACAAAACAAACTGATGTCAAATAAATAGACGTAGAGGACCAGTACGACTTATAAAACTGCTGATAAAGTTTACATGCTCATAATTTTGCTGAAAGTGGTGATATCAAATGAAAAACTGTCATTAGAAGTCAATAGTAAATCTATGTTCATGTAGATTGCTCTGAGAAATTAGGATATTTAGCAATTTTAGGGTATTATATGTTAAAACAGATATGTTTTCATTTTCTCAGATGTTGTTCCTGTGATGGACACTAGAGGGCAGCATTGTTAGTTTTTTTTCCTGTTGTCCATTCTGATAAGTAGATCCACTCCTACACTGAACATTTGGAGGATGCCTTTTTTTTTCTTTTAATTTTGTTCTCCAGATGTGAACTCTACCAACACAATGGACAACAACTTTCCAAATGAAAAGACACTATAATTTCTTGCATACAGAATACATCCAGCAGCACTTGTAATCTTAAATAAACGTTTTTGTTCAGAAAGCTCGCCTCAGATCTTTGACTGATCCTTATTCCCATTTAACCGAACTAATTGGGATTGTCGACGTCTTATGCTAAGCTTTACCTTCATCCCAAACCCAGTCTGAAGTTAATCACTGGAAACTCGAACCAGTCCTCACAGATGTGCAGTACATGGGAGTGCACACACGGTGAAGGGTGTGGTGTTCTTGAGCATTTCAGTGATGGAGGATTTCATTAAGAATACGCAGCAAGGTCATGCACCACTCCTGCAGCAAGCACACAGGCTCGCACACATTGACATGCACAAACAGACTTGTATGAGTGAAAAAAGAAAAAAAAAAAAATCACAGTGCAGCTACTTTCTCACGGCATGTCTGGCTAACAGCTTCCAGCTGTTGCCTGGTCGGGAGAGCTGCTATGGGAACACACCAAGTACAAAGAGCAACATGGGATTAATTCGTAAATGGACACAGAACTAGAACAAAGCAGGATGATGAGGCTGGGTGTCCTCGCTGAAACTGATTCTTTTGGTGGAGCATCAGAGAGGAGCACAACTACTGTGTGGGTATTTGTAGCCTGTGTTCACAATAGGAGCCTACATGTTACAATCTATTCGCTCAGACGCCTGCATATCCTGCCAGCATTGACACAAAGAGGGAGTTTTCAGCGTGAGCCGAGTTTGCAGCCAACCGTGGGACACGCTGGCATTCACAGTGAAGACAGTTTAATTGAACTTGTTTAATCTTGTGGTCTGCTGAGTAACATCTTTTATGTTTGGAGTGTATCTTCCCTTCGACTCCACAGGAAATCCTCTCGGAGGGAAGTGACTGAGGTCTGGATGTGATGACAACAGAGTGAGTGTGAGGAAGTGGTGACTACGTGTCGGGATTCCCTTTGATAAACCCGACTGATGCCGCGACCTTTCAACCCGACAGCCGGGAAGGATTTGATACGAGACACTCAGGAATGACTCAATGAAAACAACGGAAAAGAAAGAGGAAAAAAAAAACAACAAGCAGACATTATCTTGAGAACATTCATCAATAATTTATTTTTCTTACTCTCAAGAACCACCACGGCTTCTCATCTTGAAAATTCATCATCAATTTCCAACAACACGGTTTTGAAAAATGTAAAGTTACTATACAAATTCTTAATAGAAAAAAGAATAAATTAACTGTGGAATTCTGCTTTTTTTTGTGTGTTTGTTTTTTTTAAATCAATTCCACATTTTTTTTTCTACAACACCTTTAATGTATTGTTACAGTTGAACAGAACTGATAAAATCGAGTTACATGCTCTATTGTCTGGTAGAGGAAGTGTTCTACTATTAAACTGTCTGTTAAAATAAGCTTCATTTTGCACATCTGGTATTGAATCTATTGGTAATGATGAAGAAATGTCTAGATCCTACGTGACAAAGCAGTAACTGGTCATTTTGTAGCACCTGAAAGGGTTGTTACAAGGTCAGAACTTAAAAAAAACAAAAACAATACTGGTTCATATAAAATGGAACATTGTTAAAACAATGAATGTGAATGTTAAAAACCCCACAAAACCTAACGGTGCCCCTCCGTACATACAGGTAAAGACTGATAAAATAGTTAGTTCATTTCTCTTGGAGTATTACAAAAAAACCTCATACGTTTGCATGGAGAACAGGAAATATGTTGTTTGGAACTACAGAGGGGGAAACGATGTCACACTTCTTCACAACGGGCTCAGAGATCAGAGATTATAACAGATCATAACAAGGGCGACATTTTTTATTTTTTTTTTGGTGGGTGGGCGGGTCGACACTATGGAGCAAAACGTGCTAATGTTGAGGAGATGCTGTCTTTGGGGTCTTCGTTTTGTCAGTGGATCTGCACGGCATGCACGGGGATCGTGTCTTCGAATGGTGGGCAAAGATTTTCAGAGAGAAAACGCAGGATCAATACACTAGATTCATGGGAACCAGTGGTCGCTGGCTCCAGTGTTGGGTTGTTAAATTGGACCAATCGTGGATGAGTAACTCTTGAAGAACCAACCATGCAGGGAGCGGGAGCTTCTAGTGCAGAAAAAGTGGCGGATTACAACAACGGCGCATGAAGGAAACACGACACTATTTAGGACAGGGTGAGATATATACCGTTCCTCCCATGCGGGGCAGCACAGTCCAGTGGGAACGGTGCGATACGACTAAAAAGATGTCCACTTCTCTCCGTCAATGAGATTTACAATCTGTGATCATTTTAGTGACATTAATTTATTTCCGCTCCACATGAAGGTGAAAATCATTCTGCAGGATAAACATCGATCGAGGGAAGATGAGGGGAAACTGGTTCGATGATAGCTAAAAACAAACAGCTTTAATTCCTTCATACAAAACCAGGTGTGCTTTTCTAACCCTGTTCTGAATATCTGATTGTTGATTAGGGCGTGTTAGAAAATGTTTTGTTTTCCTCAGTTCTGGCTATAGCTCTCTCATCTGCCCTTACAGTGGGGTTTTAATCATTATCCACCTGAAATCCATCAATGTTTCTACACGAATAAAAAGAACTTTGATATGCGAATACACAAACTGCAGTTCCAGCCCTCAAAGACACCGTTAACGTTGTGCTTTCAGAACAAAGTACATCTAAATAAATCCTATTTCACCCGATGCCAAATTAAGCAAACGCTTGCTGACTGTCTTCTGTTTTTTTTCTGCTATTTTATAGAATGGCTTTACACTGCGGGGGTGTGGATTTGAAGGCGTATGTAGCTCGAAAAAGCTTCAGTACTAAATTACAGTAGAAATGTAAAAGCACCAACATGTTGGGAAAAGTAAGTTCAGTCGGGCTGCTCTTGTCAGACTCAAGAGATGGACAGAGAGATGAAACAACACAGCGCTATAAAGGGACTGAGAGCTGGTACAGAGCCGAGACCAAAGGAGAAGAAGAGAGCCTCAGTATCAAACGACTAACTGATGGGGGCAGCCTTTTATTTTTTTTTTTACTTGTAGGGGATAAAATTAACATATCTGAATATCATATTTCTATTTAAAAACTGCAGCCAAACTTAAAAAGTTGCAGTAAATCGTGACTTGATGCGGCCACAGCACCCTCAGATGACCCCGGACTGCCCGAACCCCTCCATGTTCTGGCTACAGTACTGATCACAACTCACCATGCGGTCAGACAAACTGCTGTGGACAGATGACCGAATACATAAAACAAATTATGAAGTCACTGAAGAAAGCATAGATTAATGCCAAATCCAATAACCACAACTCCAAACTCTCCCTATGAAGCACTAATGATGCTTTGCTCCAACCATCACAAGGCAGAGAACGCCTGCTTCAGTTCACTCTGTTGATTCAAACAGCTCACAGACTTGTACAAGGTTTGTTATTGCTATAGTCCTCATCAAGATCTGAGACAGAATCCCAGAAACCGTCCTGATGTTGTCACCGTGACTTCACTCTTATACAGTCACCTGCTCAGAGATTCTGGTGTGACCAGTCGATCCGGCTGCTGTCTTTGGTTGTGGAATAAACTGCGATGTGTTAAATCTGTCATCCGAATGTGTGTTAGTCTAGACTTTTTGAAAAGTGTCACTTTCTCTTTTTTATAAATATGAATGGGTGAAATAAAGAAAAGAAGAAAAAAAAAAGAAGACAACATTAATGTGAGTAATGAAATGCAACACAGATCATTTGGGCCTTGAAACTGGTTTTCAGCTGGTGGCTCAAATCCAGCAGGTGTCTTCTGATTGAGTGGCAGTGCACTGGAGTGAGTAAGGTCGGGGCGCAAAGATGAGATGAAACAGATCCTGGAATGGCCGGTTTTGTTGAAGTTTGAGTTGTATATTTGATATTCTTCTGTGCTCTCTCTTCCCATCGCCTGCTTCCGCTTGCCCCGCTGCTCGTGTGCTGCAGAAAGTGAGTTAAAGAAAGGGCTCTGTGGTGCTGTAGGGCAACAGTTCAACAGCTGAGGTGGCACTTCTCAGTCCGTCCTGTGAAATCAGCCCTTATCAGAGCCCAGTGAGTGTGTCCCTGTCCAGCTGAGCTGTGATAACCAGGGCATAATAAAGAGGTGGTGGAGATTTAAGGAGGAAGGAGGCTCATGTCCAGTCCGCCAGTCTGGTCAGGGCAGGGTTTTTGTAGGGTTTAAAGGATGAGGTTGTTGGTTGTTGATGGGTAGTAGTGAGGGACAGTGGGGAGGCAGTAGGAGAGGGCAATGAGACTTGTCTAGGCCCTACAGGAAGGTCTCAGACCAGCGTTCCAGGTTTGGCCTTGTCTTGTCCGTACCACTGCACATCTGCCAGCTCTGAGCACAGGGGGCTGCTGAGAAAACAGCTGTCACTGAAAGACCTGCAGAGGAAGACACACCAAGATCAGACTGAGTGCAGGACGAGGTTGTATTTCCAATTCATCAAGCATTTCAGACGCTGCATTGTTCATCTGCTACTGAGCTTCTTTGTGTGTTTTAAAAATGCTCCGTTACAGCACACGGTGAAGTATTTCTTATTAGTAAATTCTGTAGGAAGTGAGCCACAGTGAAACATCGCAGTCAGAACACAGCAGAGCACATGCAAAGATCACATAGAGATGCAGTCGGAGAAGGAGTACATGACACACATACCTCCACCGACAAAGAGCGAGAAATGAGAAATGAGCCCTCCCCATTGTCACCCCCTCACAGCTGATGATACAAATGTTTCTATGAATAAAGGTCTGACCCTGAGTAAATTTGGCCGTGTTGTCACATAATAATAAATGTTGTTTTATTGCAAAGTCTGCTTATGCTGCTGCTGTGTTTTCCCAACGCTACTCTCTATGTTTAGACCACGGGGAGGCCGAGACCACAGACGATACCTCTATGCGTCAGAGTTGGGCTGAGGGGGAGATTGACAGACGTCCTCAGTAGGAGAGCTGTCTGCTGTGCCTCTAAACCAGGAGAGAGGACACACACATAAGGAAAGGAGGGTTAGTATAGACAGAAAGACAGACAAGAGAGGAATGACAAATATTAAGTAATAAGTTTTTTTTTTTCCACGAGGAAAAGGTAATTGGAGAGAGTGAGAGAGACAAAAACAAGGAACAAAAACGTGATGAGTGAAACAATAAAAGCACAAAAAAACAAAGACAAAAAGTCAAGAGGACAGATTTGATTGACGTATAAAAGTGGTTGTGAACTTAAAAATCGCACACTTTTAGTTTAATGGTGAAAAACAATGTTAGTCGACACAGGCAGAAAAGACAGTCAAAGCTTTGTGAGTGTGTTAAGAGTGAGGTTTGGACAAAAGATGGAGAAAAACAAGCCGAGATGCAGTCTGTCCCGAATTCACATCCGACTTCAAACATCTGGGCGCCGCGTTCGACCGCTGTGTCGGTGGGCCTCTTACCCGCTCTGCCAGTTGAGGATGTGCTGTGGGCTACAGGGGGGTGTGGGTGTGGCTGCGTGTTCGCTGGAGGGCGTCATACTCCTCTGGCTGTGGGGGGATGCAGCTAAAGGGAAAACTGACAGTTAGTGAAGCAACACAAACAACAGAGGCTACAGTGAGGTGAGGGGCAGAGGAATTCCAACTATGTTTCACATGTGGGGGTGGGGGGGGGAGGTTGTGTGACAAACATTCGCTGCAGGGTGGGTCATGTCACGGAAAAAAAAAAAAAAAGTCGCATCAGGGTGTGAAAAACAGGCCTCGTTGGCGCAGTAGGCAGCGCGTCAGTCTCATAATCTGAAGGTCGTGAGTTCGAGCCTCACACGGGGCATGTGTTTTCCTTTTTACACGTCAACTGTTCCTATAAAATGTGTATTTTAATCTCTTAAGGCCACAGACTTGTCAACCACATGTTGATGTAGATATATTAATACACTTCAGATGGGCCTACAGGATCAGGGAGAGGATAATGTTTCAGTTTGTAGTGACAGAGCTTGATTTCATTGTGAGGTTAAAAAGCAGCCCACAAAATGTTGTTGTTCAGTAATTCAAAATTTGTGAAACATTCGTAAGTTACGTTTAGTTGCATACATAAAACCACATGTGTTGAATCACTGAGTTACTGTTGATATTCTTATTACACATTAACAATCTAGTAACACGGAGGCACGACATCTATTAAAGTATCACTCTATCTGCGTAAATAAACATTTGAAGACCCCTAAACTACAACTGCTGAGTTTAAAACTGCACAAATTTCCCTAAACATATGCCTCGTTGGCGCAGTTGGCAGCGCGTCAGTCTCATAATCTGAAGGTCGTGAGTTCGAGCCTCACACGGGGCATGGCTTTTACACTGGACATTAGTTACCTCACAATAAAGACAATATGTGTTACAGTGTACGACTGGTATCTGAACAAACACTAATAATGTGAACAAATCAGAAGCCTTACCTGGTGAGCCTTTGACGAGTGTTCCTACTCTACTCCCTCGACCGTGTCCCAGAGTGCCTTGCTGCGACCCAGTCTCGGAGGATGTGGATCCTGAATGTGAGTGACTCCTCTCCTTTAGGCTCCCTGAAGACCTCTGGTACCAGCACCGCAGCTCTTCAGACACCGCCGCCCTCCCCCCTCCTCCACCACCCTCTCGCCCCAATGACGGAGTCCGTACGATCTGAGAGCGCGACGGTGTGAGTCGGCCGCTTCCCTCTCCTCCCTCCTCTCCACCCCAGGCCTCCTTGTACAGTCCACCGGCCGTGTAGGAGCTGGAGGTCTTGAACTGAGCCTTCACGCTGTAGTGGCCCTCCTGATCGCTCTCCAGGCTGCGCACCACCACCGGGTTGGGGCTGCCCTCCACGTACAGAGGGTACTCCTTGATCCGGTACTGGGAGGAGGGCTGGCTCTGGCTGTGGAGGTACACTCCATGGTGTCCCCCTCCCACCCCGCCTCCACCTGTGCCTCCACCAGAGCCGTTCTTAGCTGCCAGGTTTGGCATCGAGCCAGAGTTAGAGGAACCCAAATGACCGGCAGACCTGGAGAGAAAACCAAGCACAACATACGTCTTAATCTCACAGAAATGTTTATTTCTTCAAGTTCAGAAAGCCTATTTCACTGCATTTCCCTGTGGTTACCTGTGCCTTTGCCTCTGCCTCTGCCTGGCTTTGGAGGGCGAATCCTCTCCCAGAGTAGAGTAGTTTGGGTTGCTGCCTGGGGGTCCACCAGAGGGGTAGTAATGCTCTGAGCTGCTTTGGCTGGTGCAGGATGAGCAGTCGTCCAGTGGGTCAGAGCCATTGGAGCTGCGTCCTGGGCCGAGGAAGAAGTCAGGGCTGCCCAGGGTGTGCGGGTGTGCGTCGGGATCGGACACAAGCAGTTTGCCCTGAGACTCAAGGCTGGAGCTGCGGTTCCTAAAGTGCTGAGAGAGACTGTGCAGACGTGTGGGACTGATGTCCACTGACCTGTGAGATGACGGATGACAAAAAAGGTTACTATCAGGCCTGAAGTTGAAATCTACAGACCAAGATGGTTTCTTTTAAAGGAAAATGTATTTTAAAAAGTAGCCAGAGAGCGGAATGGGAGAACTTAAGGAACGGAAGCCCTGTGGCCCCTTTCAAGTTGGGGAACACATTATGACAAGATATTGAAGTTTTTAAGACTTTTCATTTTCAGACATTTTTTATAGTTGGATATGCTGTTTAGTTAAGTAATATAACATAAAAAGAAGTTGACTGACCTGGTGGAATGTACATAGTGTGGGGTCCTGGTCCTCAAGTCCGGGGTCGACGGCATGCTGGACTGAGAATTCCAGTGAGGGAGGCTCCTGATGGGGCTGCTCTGCAGAGAGTTACTACCCCCTGCTTCTGCACTGCCAGAACTAGGGAAACGCCTGTGACTGGACAGAGGTGCATTCTTACTAAATTGTATTATCTCCATTCACACAAGCTGATTTAATGAATTCTGAGCAGTCTCACATTTGCACATTAAAATGCCAAAGTTCCAATCTAAAGGTCCAGGATAAACTCCCTCATACCTGGAGTGAGAAGAGCGTTTCTTGACTTTTTCATAAGGCTCATCCAGTGACGATTCACTCCACATCTTGGGTTTGATGGGGGATTTATCGTAGTCGGAGCGTGTGTAGTGCAGGTGTCGCAGGCCATCCAGGGACTGCGGTGGAGGGGGTCGACTGTGAGATGGAGGTCGCGGAGGGAGGCCCTTGTGAGGCGATGCTACTGGTGAGAAGGTGGGGGTACCTGTGACTTGAGGGTCATCTGAAAGGAAGTGATGATTGGATAAAGTTAGAACAATTACATATGGATCATATTTAGTCATACATACATCAACTATCACAGGGCTGTTGCTAGAATCTTTGGGAATAATGTGAAGGACAGACTCACCATCATCCAAAACCAATGCATCAGACAATGAGCTGTCTTCAGAACACATATTAGCTTCTATAGGACAGAAAAAACAAAAGTTAGAGGTTAGAGATTGTACTTTTCCAAAACTCCAAAGCTTGTACGTGTGTTTCCTGTAGTGACTAGTTGGATATTGGTACCTTCTATGATAAGCGACGCCCTCTGTGTAGGCTTCTTGCCAGAGCGGACCCGGTACTCATTGATGGAGTTCTCGATTTCCTGGAGCTTCTTCAGTGCGTTCAGATAAGAAGTCTTCCTCTGTTTCTTCAGCTTCTTGCTGCTCACGTGAGGATCGCTGGCAAGACGCCTGGCTGCCTCTGTAATCTGGGACTGAATGGCAAACTCCCGCTCCAAACGCTCAAGCTCCTCTTCCTGGCAAGTACACAAATGTGAATGCAAACGTTGAGTTACACAGACACGAAGTTACCGAAACCGCTTTCAGATTTAGCAACAGAAATCTACGAACAATCCAAAAACAACAAGTCCCAGTTTGCAGACACGTATTCAGACTAACTCTCCCATGCAACATATTTGGTTAGACACACGGTGTAAGCCTTGCCAGGGAAAACACACTGCGGAAATCATTTATCTGTGCTGCAGCCGCGCATTTTCTCACCACTGGATATTCTCTATTGAGACACCCTGTCCCCCAATAATAACACCCCTCCATCAATCCATCCTCTCCTCCTCTACAGCTCTCCTGGGATTTGTGGAGCAGGGACTATCAGGTGGACCAAGGAAAACACAGCCTGACAAACGACAAATGTATTCCGAGTATGCTCTCTGTATTAACCAGTGTAGTATACAGTCAAACGGCACGGCACAAACTTGTGAATGTAATTACAGACAAGGACATAAACTCATGGCTGTCCTGTGACACACGCTGTACACAGCTATCATGTAATTACTTCGCTAACATCTGAGAGCGCACACACATGATTTCACTTGCCTCCAGAGAGACAGAACGATGATGTATTCACTTGGGTTGACTTCATATTGGACTACCTCAGTTCTGAGGAATCCCTCTCACTAACAGTTGCTTCACAGAGCGGCTTCTGTTTCTGTGTGTGTATGAGCTTAAGGTGCTCAGTGTAACATCTTTCTGCTTGCGAGGCACTTCTGCGATATTGTGTCCCTGGATTCTTTTCAAAGCATACAACCTCAGCGACACACACACCCACCCACACACACACATGCCTGCACAAACGCAGGCGCACACACAATCCTACTATCACCACTTCCTGTGGCGAGAATGCTGCCAGACTATATTTAGAAGTTCGGCTCCTCTGGAAAATCTACCCTCGGCTCAAAAAGACAGCAAGACAAAGAATGAGTACAAGTACTTTAACAAGGTCCAAGATGTTTCAGATAGCGGCTTTTCAGCATTCTGTAGTTTCCTTTGTTGCTTAAAGAATAATTCTAGTAGGGATCAGTTACTCTATCGTCATGTGAATCAGCAACCCGTGCCATTCTGAGAGCGTCAAGTATGCAGTTTTAAATGAAGTAAATCCTCAACAACCCTTGATCTTTACAGTTCAACATATGGCTTTTAAACACCACTTATGCTCTGTAATGCTCATAAATGGATCATTAACATTACATTTAGATTGAGAGCACCTAATTAGCACTGCATTTGAAATACTCCAACCATATATTTGCTATAAGCACGAGAACTACTAAAAGACCTTGTGCTTTTATTAGGACTGTGCTGAGTGCAGATGATTGGCGATTGTGACAGTAAGGAGAGTAGGGAGTTGGGGCTTTACCTCTCCTTTCGGTAGAATTTTCTGCTCGTCCAGTTTGAAGGCGGTACCGATCTTCCGTCTCACTGTGGGTGGCTCCTCTCCAGGATCCAGAGGATATTCCTTTGGAAGTTTTCCTGTTAGCTCCTGGAAAATATGACAGGGAAGTACAGTTAGAGAAAGAAAGAATCAGTTTTCAAAATATTTGCCAGTTCTGTCACTGTTTTCTCATACCGCCTCTCTTATGCAGATGCTCTTGAGTTCCTCTAGTCTCTGTCTTAGTGTTTCCTCCAGAGCTTCCTGCCTGGCCCTCAGTGCTGCCAGCATGTCCTTCTTAGCCGTCTGGGAGCTGTCCGATTCCTGAGAGCCTGCAGACAACACATAAGGTAAGGTCATGAGTGGTCTTTTGAGGCGCATTGTGGAGGGGCGGGAGAAATTATGCGTGCACCTGCTGGTCTTACAGGATGTTTACAGGGAAGTGAATGGAACGTTTCGATAAGGAAACTGAGTTTGTGAGTGTTTAAAGGAAGGGGCAGTTTAGGACAAAGTCTGTGACGCACATCTCCAAGGCCCTGAGATGGTGCCAGTCTTGTTTGTAATATGGTGTGTTGAAAACAGCGCATACCCTCCCTTACGTACACACACTCTGTTTGTCTTTGTAGCTCTCTCAGTGACCCTTCATGGTTCGCTGTGCGGTCGAACATACAAACAATACAAAGTAACCGCTGCTGAAAATGTTTAGCCACACAGAAACCAAAAATTGCTTTCTATTTTTACTCGAAACATCATGCTGAAGTTCAGAGTTTTCAGAGATTTGCAGGTACCTAATCTTCAGCAGGGACCAAACTGTTCTTAAAGATAAAATACATGAGGTTTGGTGTGTAAACAACCACTCTACGACACCAAATGCACAAATCTGGTGAAGAATTTTATCTCGATTACAGAAACTCTACAGTCCAGATGTTGCTATTTGGACAGCCACAGTCAGATAGAGATGATGATTATATTGCTGGACAGAGATGACCTCCAGTCAGCAGGGGACCATGGAGTCAACATGCTGACATAAGACCACAAAGAGAAGTGACAACACAGAGACAGATAAGATAAAGACGCTCTGTATGATAAGGTGGGGGCAGAACTAGAGAACAGCAGACAGACAGAGAAAGGAAGATAAAGAATGAATACAGAAAGCGAGGGATCAGGGGAGGTGAAACAGAAGGAAGAAACAAATCCAATTCAGACATGCAACAGAGAGACAAAAATGAGGAGTGCATGCTGGACATTATTACTGAAAGAGAACAGTGTTCTTTCCTGACAACAGTAATTCAGTAAGCTGTTAAAGCCTCTAAATAGCTAACTTTATAGTCATGTACAGACACAAATTCTTGCTTCTTAATCTTGAACAATGCTAATTTAGTCTAATTCGTGTAATTTTATAAGTGAATAATGCAGCAGTAGCTAACTTGGTTACGTTACTCGTTTTTCTCGCCAGCCTAATTGCTGCACTTGCGTTCCTAACTCAGAAAACATTCAACATGGCTGTCTGGATTTAAAAGGGCATTTCCCTCTCAACTCTAATTTTGGTTCATGTACAAATCTTCCTGTCACACTTATTACTTGTTCACCACAGATAAGCATTGTTTTAAAGGCCAAGGCAAAGTTATACACTGACCTGCTGCCCCTTTCATTCCCTCACCCACTAAATTTAGAGGAGGCAGGGGCCTCTGGAGGACGAGGCTGTGTGACATGGATGGGGGAAGTGGTGTTCTATACATACTGAAAGACACTGGGTGCGGTGTGTGTACAGTACGCGTGAGAACATTCAGCAGAGAATCAGTGGTTTCTTTCCAGTTGCAGCTGTTTCTGTCTGTCCAGTTGTCAACACGACTCCTCATCAACAACATGTATAACACACATGCGTATCAATCTCTCCCCTTCCCTGTTTTTCTTTCTTAGCTGTCATGGTCTCTGAAACACACTCATGCTAGCCGTGCACTGACCTGAGGAGAGCAGACTGCCACTGCTGCCACTGATAATCTTGCCCTTGCTGCCCATGTTGGCCAGTTTGGAGGTCTTCAAAGTTCCCGTTTCCGTAAGATCGATAGCAATCTCACTTAAGCTCCGCGCAGCATGGATCTTCGACTGGACAGACAAGAACAGAGAGGGTTGTCAAACATCTTCAAGCTCTTTAATTAACACTCCTGCTGACCATGCTGGTGGAATTTGGAGTACCTTTGGTACATCCCTAATTACGTCTGTGATCTGTCACATGCTTTGACTTAATACCTTGTGGGAGACACTGACCTTGCTCTGCTTGCGGTCCAGGTAGAACTGGTGTTGGCTGATGGCCATGGCCCAGATGGACTTGATGAGGGCAGGACAAGCGTACCAGGTATGCACAGCAATGCCGCTGTGACCAAACGTCCTTCTTGTTACCGACGCCCTACAGTAGGAGCGGACACAAGGCCTCCTTATATACACTGAATACAAAAGATTTACAACTTTGCAAACAGTCCTGCCCGACTACTCCAGTGCTGCTACTAGGAGGAAAAAATTATATCAATAGCTGAGAGAACAGTGGTGATGGAGATACTTTTTGCAAAGCCACACACGATGCTCCCCATTGTTTACTCATCCTTATTTAAACACACATCTGTAGCTGAGCAACAGACCAGCTCACTCTAATGACAGCTTCCTTTAAAGAAAACATCACTGCTCTCTGTTTCACCCTGTCTTTCTCTTTTTCTCCCATTCCCTCCCTCCCTGTGTCTGTAGAATAACACTCCACATATATAGCCATGTTAAATAAACACAAGAGAGGTCACTTCCTCCGCAAAACAGCTATCGCACAGCCATCTATCCTTCTGTGGTCAACTATCAAGGGTTTACCCCGAGTGTGTGTGCTCTTGCATGTGTGTGTGTGTATGATCGAGAGCACATGTGTTTGTACATTTGGCTGCGCAAGTGTGTTAATAATCAGACTATTAATCTGTGCGAGGCTCCACCAGGATATCCCCAATATCTTGCTCTGTTGCCAAGACAAATTCTGCAACGATTACTGAATTAGATTCAAATCTCAGCTTTCCTGCACTACACAGTATGTAGTTTATATCTTTAACATATTCACATATCCCACAGAGGTAAATCACAGTACAAGCTACTGGAAGGTGTCCACAACTGATGGAAAACTCTGTGACTTCCAAATGCTAGCTCGAGGCCAGGAATCAATAGTGAGAATAAACAATCATTTAAGTAAAACTACTATGAAACAACGACCATCCAACCAGTGACTTGTTCAAGAGACAAGCATTTTGTTAAATCAAAGAAAATTACAACAGTTTTAAGAAAAGCTCAGTGGCAAGTTCACATGAGCTTCAGTTTGTGATATAAATTTACCTCCTGGGGTCATGAACTTCCACTGAGAACTTCTTCTCTCTGAAGTAGAGGTTCTCCAACTGACGCCATTGGAACACCTGAAGTTTAGGAGAAACAGAAAACTCTTCAGGACTTCTCACAGAAAAACATGCTTCACATTAAATCCGCACAGCCTTCAGCCACATCTCTTCACTGTATGTTCCAATTTGTTTTCAAAGAAAATGCAATGGATAAGGAGGAGGAGGAGGAGGGGCAGGAAAAAAAAAACCAAGAAGCTGATGAAAAGGAGGAGTTAGGAAGCCAGAAGGAGGTGGGGAGAAGAGGACCTCGTCTGGAGCTCTTTGATCAGGTCCAGACCAGGCGGTCCTGTCCACAGCGGATCCCGGCACTGGATGACCTCACTTTTGAGAAAGACAACGTGAGCGGGAGAAGGCTTCCTTTCCTCTGCTAGACTTTCCTTTTTTTTTTCCTTTTTCCGTCCCCTTTATGAACCATCAGCTCCTCAATAAAAGAAGCCAAAGCCAGCTGTGCAAGAAAGTTTCCCTCAAGATGTACTCCGCAGCATGTGTGTATCTTAAATCCTCCCAGGCGCGAGGGACCAGAACGTTTTGAGGGTGGTGCGTGTTCACCATCTGCAGGCATGTGCATGTGCTGGCGGAGAGAAAGTGTGTAAAGTTAAGTTTCCTCCTCTCCTGGAGCTTCGCTGGGAGGGTTGAGAAGAGAGGGGGCGTTTATGCCTCCCCTCCTCCTGACCCCTCCTCCCTCCCTCAGGGACTATGCGTTCTGCTCTGGGCTGCGGTTGGGAGGTGTGTGTGTAACGAGGGGTCGGGAGGGGTGTTAGAGGGGGGAAGAGAAGCTTTCCGTGGCCTGGGCGATTGAAGCGCCCTTTGCTTTGTTTAGTCAGACTTCTCTGGGCGCGCACACAGACATTCACGGAGTCTGTTTCTCGTTAGCGTAGAGTGTGGGCTATTTCAGAACACAAGATGGCCTGCATCTATCAGCTGGAACGCACATACAAACGCACACATGCAAACCAAAGGAGCAGCAAACAGCAGAAAAGAAGTAGAAGGCCCCCGCTATGACAGAGAAAGGGAGGAAAAAGAGGAGAAAGAGAGTGAAGGGAGGAACAGGTCACAGCCCAGGAATTTTAACAGCTTGGGAAAACAATGGACAGAAGGATGAGAGAGAGGAAAGGGGAGGAGAATTATTATGAAAAAAAAAAAAAGTAAACACAGGATAGTGTACATATTTATGCACTGTGTGTGTGCGTGCATAAACACGGGGAGAGAAAATCAGCAGTCTTATCAAAACTCTTGTTGTACCGTACACTTTCAATGGAGTGTGAAGTGCTAATGTACCATGGTGCTAAATATAGCAGGAAGGGTAGATATGTGGGTGAATGGCTTTGTGAGTGTGTGTGTGTTGTGTGTGTGTGTGTGTGTGTGCGCTGGCTACATATGGGCCAGAGCTGTAAAGATAAGATAGGTGTTTGTAACAGGCACGAGACCACTAAAGATGTCCTCGCCATCAGAGGGGCAGAGCTGCTGCAATTCTGAAAGTCGACTTTGATGTTTCAGGATAAGCTGCACGTAGACGAGTGCGCAAACAGCTGTGGAATATATTCGGAGAATGCTAATAGCGGTCGCACTATTTACAAAGAAGTGCAATAAAGTCACCCTGACATTTAAAATTGGCCATTTACATTGTAATTCTGTACCATTTCAAAAAAAAAATAGTGCTTCAGTTACATAAGCCTATTGTGCTAATGAAAGCTTTGTAGTCTTAGATTTGTACTAGCTTGAACGTCTGATAAAAACACGCTGACAGCTTCTTTCTTTGGAACTCAGTAAAAGGCCTTTGGGTCCGTCTGTTACTAGGGCGGGGGCCGAGCATGTATGTGTGCATGCACGATAAATCCTCTCTCTTTTGACTGTAAGAACGCTCACACACAATGGCACAAACACACGCAATCACAGGAAGTGACTGGTCATTATTCACAGACAAACGGGGTGCTCATGTGCACAGGCCCATGTCTGTCTTGTAATAACGTCCGTGCAACTCAACACACATCCACTGCAGATGAAAAAGGTCAGATCTGATTGGCGCCTTTCTTTGGTGTTGCGGACTCTTGGGGGGGATTACTCAAAGAATAGAAAGTTTAAATAGCTTAGGTCAATACAGCTATACTGAGGCCAGGTATTATTCTTTTCTAGTACTGGAACTGAGGGTCCTGAATACTATTGTTTCACCCGTGGGTGGGGCTCCACCGTGCAGTGCTGTATCCACCAGTTGTCATAGAGATGCACATGCACTGTGGTGGCACTTCCTGTTTGTGTTTTGGCTGTAGCGTTTAAAGGGATGACATTTAGGAAAAATCTAATGTAAACAGGCTGCCTGTGGCTATTTGCAGACAGGAGGTGATAAAGTTAAAGGGTTGCGTACTCTCTTTCACCACAGAAAATATCAGAATATATAGAAAGTGCAATGAAATGCATGTGCAATTACGTTAATGTAGACCATAGTTGGCCATGTATGACTAAAAGCTCCTCGTGACTTCATCACAGTGGTGACAGGTTGGCCTTCAGTCAGTCAGTAAGGAAGTCAGTCAACTTATAAACTCTATAATCTCTGTCTTTAACGAGTCAGAAGACACTAATGAGGCATTAGAGCAGTGTGTGGTTCCGTTGTAAACCCCGGCCTGTGTGTACTGTGTTTGTGTCTGCATGTGGCGTGTGGTGAGCACAGGGGTAAGTATTTTAACATCCCTGAATAAACGTGGAGGGTGTGGTAGACGGTCTGCACTTAGAAACAACGGGATCTCCCCTCGTAAAAAGGCTGACTAATTAAGCACAACAGCCTCCAGTACACACACACACACCTATTACACAATGATAACTTACTTAGTCTGTTATTAATGAATAAAAAACACTTGTGTTGAAAACGTAAAGCAATTTTACTGAGACAAAGGATAATTGGCCCAAAATGTCTCATAATTAGTGTTCTACTTCCACCTCCCTGAGTCACAGCACCGAACACTTGAACAGTGGGAAAGAAGTGATTACACTCTGAGTCAGTGTTTGCTGGTCCTGAACTCGGTTGGCTGCCTGGCTGATCACTAAATCTGCACTTCCTCCAGTTAAAACAGCGATGACACTTATTAGTACCATAACATCTGCACATATTCTAGTGGCCTCCCTCTTTTCCAGAGCTGAGGTTTGGAGAAGACGCAACATCCACCCTTTTTTTTTTCTCTCCGTCTGATTAGAGAACAAACCTTCACTGTGTTCACTGAGGTTTAGTTGGACTTGTGATGCTGCATTAACAAGACATGCAGTCCGCAAATCTCTTTTGGGTCACGCTTCTTAAGCGCTCGCTGCTTCTGAAATGCATGTGTGTGTGTTGGGGTGAGGGGAAAAGAAGGCGAGAGAGAGAGAGAGTGAGCAGAGAGAAGAAAGTGAGGGGTCAGTACTGAAGCTGAACAGACCAATGACTCACACTAAGTGTTGCTATGGCAGCAGAATGCTTGATAAGTCACTTGTATGGGAAAGCTATTAACTCTTTCTTCCCTCTCTCTCCTTCTGTTTTTGTGGCATTTACCTCATTTAAAACTATCTTTCACACATATTAAAGGTACTTGTGCTTGACCAACAGGTTTCCCAGTGTGCTCTGGGAGTTACGTGTCTGAGTTCTATGTGAGATAAGTGAACTGCATTTTTTTCTCTCACCATGGTGATTTAACACTTAACCAGCCAAAAGATTTAGAGTACTTGAATGAGGCAGGAATAGGGCTTAGTGGTGAGACTTTTAGGCTGGAATGCACTAATCAAGAAGCACAGACACACACACGCATGAATGTTAGTGGCAAACAGGAAAACATTTGGTGGACAGGAAGTATTCATCAGGATGGTGACTGCACTGTTCAGTCCAGTTCCTGTGTGTGAGCAGTGTGTGCATTTGTTACCGTGCGCATGTGTTTATGAGGAACGGTTAAGTGCACGTATGTGTGAGTGTCTCAGAGGTCAGACAGTATGCGGGGATGCTGTTAACACCATTAACACCCTGTGAGACGAGGCTCAGTGCCAGAGATCAAGGCCCTAAACATGACTGGGAGTCAGAGGTGAGGTACGAAAGACTTTCACAGATAACCCGCTGAGTGAACTGGCTGGGAGGAGGACGCTTTCACAGACAGGCAGAAATAAATGCCGGATAGGATGCAAAACATTCCAAGACTGAACGTCTCCAGACAGTAATAATTGTACAACATTGTTAATACTCTTCGCAAACACAATATCCTGACTCGCTGAATGGAAAAGTGGACAATAGGGACCATGAACACAGACAGAAAGATTGTGAGAATAAGTTTCTTTTTAAAGCCGCACATTATTTATATTAACCACACATACTTCTTGTGGTGAAAAAAATGGGTGCCAGAAAGGAAAAGATATCCTCGTAGAAGTCATACATTTTGGAAAAAATCTGAATAGTGTGCTAATAAGGCTCTGGTACATATCAATCTTCTGCCGCTGTAAATGATACTAAATAATGTTTTATTGATTTATTGAATGATCTTTGAAAGAGGAACTGAAGGCTGCGCAGGCAACAGTCTAGCTTGAGGTGTGTAGAGATCACAGGAAGCGTCATCTCACCTTCCTGGGTTTGACTTTATCCTGGTGGTCATACTGAAAGATGCCTTTATAGCTCAGACCCAACCACCATGGGATTCCCTGCTTGTCCTAGAACACACACAAAAAAAAACCTCATCAAGAAAAGGGGAAGCAGGGGAGAAGCAGAGACATAGAACAAAATGCCCAAATGGAACAATGCAAATCTAAGTTCCAGCATATCTCCAAATTCCCAACTGCCTGCTTGCACGTCCAGATTGAACAAAAATGTGTGTGGTGTGTTGTGCGTGTGTGAGAAAAAAGAAACGGCAGAGTAGTAAAACTGTACCTTTACAGCATAGTAATGCACTCCATATGTGGGCAGAGACTCTACAATGCTCATATAACTGTGAGGAGCAGAAGGACAGAAATGTAAGGATCACAGAGAAGACAGTCTTTCATATACTGAACAAACACACCCAGAGACACACAGTTTATCCACAAACACACACTTACTTTACAATAGCCTGTCCTCTAGACTGCCCGTTGAGCTTCTTGTAATGCTCTATGACCCGGTCTTCACTGTAGCAGAGTGCCAAAGAGAGGAAGAGGAAATATTATTAGGAAGGAGATAAGCAACAGGTGAGCGTGTACAATATTCAGATAGCTGTGTGGATGATTCTCACCAGTAGGCCAGAGACGGATGCTCCTTCAGGGCCTGGGTGGGCAGAGCGGGCAGCTTTTTCAGGTCAGACCTGGTTGCATCATTACTGGGAAAGAAAAACCACAATACTTGGTCAACGCTTCGACAGGAACAACACTTTTCTGCTGTAGGTTTAAATGTTTTATACAAAAACTGAGAGATGGCACTCGACTGCACAAAGAGGAACAGTTAAAATATTCAGTGCAAGTTAAAGTCTTCAGCTAAAGCTAAGCTGAATATTTTCCATGATAGCCTGAGAATTCACTCTGGAAAAACTGTAAGCAAGGAACTACGTTCAGTCAAGACAGAGGAATGAATGCTGATGGCCTAAACGCTCTCTGTTTCCGTGACTGGGCGCGGTATTTCTCTGAACAGCTGCACAGACACTGACAGTTAGATAGAGGAGAGAAAAGAGCGACACAATCACAGGCACAAAGACAAAAGATAAATAAAGAAAGATAAAAGGAGATTTAAAAAGACAGGGATGAAGCAGGAAAAGATTAAGACGGAGATAGAGTAAATGAGACGGGGAACCATGCAGGGAGCTAAAGGGACTTGGCCCCAGATTCAGTTTTCAGACCTCCAGTGGCAGGAGGTCTTAATACCCAAGTCTAATCCCCCAGCCTCTCTCCGGCCTCCGCCAAGGCCCCAGAAGATTGGGGAAAGCCCTGGGAACATGACAACCTATGAGCTAAAGCCCTGGAAGAGATCCCATCCACCCTGCCCGTCTGTTCTCCAATGTGTGAATGCAGCTGTGTGTCTGGATTGGTAGATATCCATTAGAATAAGTCACAAGTTTTATTTCACTAAAATGAACAAAGTAGAAGAAAATGACTTAGTTTCTGGAGGGGCTTTTGGGAATAAACTTATTTGCATTCGACAAATTTTTTAGAAAAAAAATACACAATATATACTTAAAGCCAATAATGGGCATTTGAACAGCAGCAAAAATGAGATAATACTGTGGCAAATTTATTATGGGGGGGTAAAACTGAGCGTCTGGGTATGAAGAGATATGCAGACGGCAGCATCTATGGGCTTTTAGAGGGGGGGAGGTATGCTGTGCGGGAAGAAGGGGTGAGCAAAGTGGGGGAGAAGTGTAAGGAATGTCTCCAGAGTGTGTCACATTCCAGCCCTCTGCAGGATGTTGTGTTTATTTACTCCTTTCACCGGCGGAAATGAGGTCAGAGGTGACGGATGATCGAGTCTGTTACTCATGCTACAACAAAAGGATGAGGCATTTAGGCCAAAGTCGCACAAAGGTACGACTAAAGAGCCACATGAGGTGCAAAGCTCATATCAAACACATACATGACTGTAAAAGCTTCACAGATGTACGGTTTATCTTATGCATGTTTAAAGACTGATCCTGACCATATATATAGCTTTTCTGGTGATAATTATGTAAATCTTTCTCAGTGGTAAGCTCTGTCTTTTGAGTCACACTGTCTGCCATTACACAAACATCCTGACACACACACACAAAAGATAAAGATGTAATAGATTTGTCATGAGTGGAGCACAGGGTTGAAACGAGTGAACCAAAGTGGAACAGTGTTGGCAAGAAAGGAGCAGGAAAGGATGTAAATCAAGCACAGAAACAAAGACGGTTCTCAATGGTGCACCTCAGCGGTCAGGGGAGCAGACGAGCAGACAAACCACTGATATCGTCTCTATTGTTCCTCTGTCTGTGCCTTTTCCCCTGTGAATCAACATCAACCCAACTACATTACTCCTGCGGACGCGGTCGCTCTTTAGATGCTAATATCTAATTAATTACCATTGCATGGTTTGTGCTCTTTGAGTTTTTAAAGATTGGGTCGTTCCATATCCAATACTCAAACAAACTATTCTTAAAATGTTTTATTAGGTTTTAGTCTGTCATGAAGTGAGATAACTAATGGTAAAAACACTTAAAGTACTCCTGGCCTTGATACGGAAAAGATGGAAGTTATAGAACATTTTTGCAGTGGAGGGAATTTGAGTGTGAAAATGGATTGCTGTCAGGCCTGCTGTATCTGCTAGCACTAGCAGGGTTTATGTGAATTCTGCTGGAGTCTTGAACCTATCTGGTGAACCTTTCAACCAATCACCATTCGACTTATGCTGGCAGCACCGCCGAGGGGTGATGCACTTTCGGTTTGTTGGGCAACCGCACGCAAACGTATACCACTGCAGAACTGTGAGGCCACTTTATGAGAGTTAACAACAGCTAAAAGCAGACAGAATCTCTCTCATAGATGTGCATTAGATATAACGATTACCAGTATGCTTACCTGGTGAAATCACCTTTTGCCTCCTGTGGAACAGAAAGGAAAAGAAAATAGAAGTGAGAAAAGGCAGGACAATTTACACATATGGATGTGCACTGAGCTGCGACCATAAAATGTGTATGTATTCTGCATTCTTTGCACTAACACTTTAGCTCTGGATCTGGGTAACGCTGTCTCATTTCACTGTGTACTGCACAGCTGTATGTGGTTGAAATGACAATAAAGCCCTTTGAACTGAATTGAACTGAATTGAATTGAATTGAATTGAATTGAATTGAATTGAATTGAACACTCTGTTTGCATAGGTGATTAAAATAAAGCATGCACTGCTGGAATCAGGCAGAAACATTAAACCTCCAACTGGAGTGAAACCTCTGAAGGCCTACAGAGCTACAGATATCTGATACTGTACATCTGCACCTGCACACAGAGGGCAAAGACGCACACAGACCAACCACTCAGCTCGATCTATGTGTAACATGACCTTGCAGAATCACAGTTAATGGACTGACCTACTCTGAGAAAGGGACAGGTGAGACAAAACGCCGGAGCTGAGGAGGATTTGTGAAGTGAAAGAGTTCCCCTGTTGCTCTGTGTTCTATTAGCACCGACAACACCGATTCCTGTCCACGGTTTAGCTGGTCGACTGGAATGTTGCTCAGACAGTTGAGGTTTTTGGGATTTAAAACCTCCTAGCGTCACTGCAACTTAACGACAGACTGATGACTGCATTAGATAATGTGAATTTAATCACTGACGATTAGGACTGCAGTAGATAATGTGAGTTTAATCATCGTCAATTAGGATCAAAGGCTGGTGGAGATACTTTGGAGGAAACTTTAAACCGTTCAAAACTATTTCATGGCAGTGCGACAACCCCTGGAATAACTTGTGTGTTTGTGTGCTTAATATAGTAAACAAAAAACAACAACAACAGATATTCACACCCACAAATATGCACATACACTCACGTACAAACACTTTATCTTACTTGTAGAATGTAGGAAGCCAATTCGAAGACGACATCACTGTCTACTTCAATGAGCTCCTGCAAAAAGAGGAGAAAGAAAGTAGAGGGCAGAAGCCATAAATGACACATTCTCTAATTTTGGCAAACAAACAAACAAAACACATTCAGCGCTGACACTGTGAGTAAAGGTGGACATGACTCTAATCATCATTCATTTCAACTTTCACGATAAGCTGCTAGTTCCTTTCATCCCCCCCTCACCAACCCTCCATTTTCTCCCTCTCCCTTCTCTAATTTCATGACGTCTTCATGTGGAGGGGAGCTCAGAGATTAGAGGCAAAGCGTAGGGGGTTGGGAGAAAGGGTTTAGGGGTTGAGGGTGAGCATGGATGCTCTGGTTAATGACTACTCAGTACATGTTACAAACGTGTCTTTTAAATGTATTACTGTCTTTTGTAAGTTATTTAATGATATGGTGAAAGGAAAGATGAACTGATAATAGGCAGGTGGGGAGATGAGGCGGAAATGTGCAAGCATGGATGATTTAATGTCCCTGTGTAGTTGGTTTATTCACCAACCATGTGAGTGTACGTGTAGATGGTATGCTCTGTGTACAATAAGAAAGAGAAGGATAAGGGTTAGTGGGCAGTGAGTAGTGGGTCACGTATGCCAGGAATGTTCCCTTTACAATCCATCTAACTGGTTGGGAGATCAGACGGCAAGGATGAAACACTAGACTGAACAAACCCACCGTGGGTGTACCACCCAGCGCGGCTACAAATCGTCACACAGAGTGTTTTTGTACCATACGTGTGCATTTCCACAGCACAGGGGGATAAGTCTTTCACTTATACAAACACTGACTGCAGAAAATACATTTACATCCTTATCTATGGTGTGTGTATGTCAAAGACGTTCATTAAAACTATATTTCTTCTCTTGCTCTCTTTTTTTTGCCTCTATCCAACCATGGGGTCATCGAGGTCATCTACTGCTGCATCTGGCGGGGTTAACGATGGCGTTTAGGTCAGCTGACTTGTGATGAATGAGCAGATAGAGACCAGTTATCTTCATCAATACATTTTTGCAGTTACTGGTGGGATTAACCAGAAACCTTATGTTAATGGAGCAGTCTCTTTCTGACTATTTGGTAATATTGCAACTGCTACTGATGTTATAGTGTCTTTCTAATGGACTTATGAGTCACACTACAAGCTAACTAGAGTCTCTAACAGCTAGGCTTGACGTTTCCAGTGTACACTTAAGTATTTGACAACACTAGCTCAGCTTAAACCTGTGTACTATAAAAACTTTTGACACTACAGGTAAAAAGTCTTAGCTCTGTGTTATTTCATGGATGCTACACTGTACAGAAATGTACTGTTTAGTTCTGATGAAACTAACAACCAATTAAAGCACCAAAAATTAAAGGGTCAGAAGACATTTTCAAAGTTCTCTACAAAGTTTTGACTGGGACAATTCAGCCCAATTACTTTCCTTAAGGCCACACACGCCCTCTTCTGGATGTGTCACATAACTGCTTGACACTAGTGTCAATAGAAGTAGTGCATGATTACTAAACTACATCCACATGGGTAGATCTCACAACTGTCTAAATGCTAACTGCTTTACTGACTAGGATTACCTCCCGTCACTCTAACCAAGCATTCAAAAGGCCTTCTCTGAGTGGTCAACGTCTAGATGTACAAAACATAACAACTGTCAAAAGTAAATCCATATGCTGTTTGCCTTTGACATTTTCTATGCGCTCAACTTTCATATCAGTGTTTATTTAAAGCCACAATTTCAATCACCATTGCAACAGTCTAAATAAATGCGCCTGAGCAGTGACAGATGGCAGTAAATGTGTCAAATTATTCGCTAGTTGCTGGAATGTGGAGCAGCACATAACATGATGGGTAACAGCTGATGCAAATGGTTCACATTTTCTGCCTCACCAAATCAGTGAGCGGGACCGAGGTCCAAGCTTTCCTCTTGTGGTATTTCTTCATTTAGAACTGAATATGCGCTAATGAAGTGGCATGCTTCTAACGACATAATTCCACCTTAAAATATACCAACCGAACACATCTACCTTCCTCTAGTAAAAAATGATTGGTTGAAAATACCAAATCACAAAGGACTACAACCACCCCTGCAGCATTTCAAGATCAATGGCTCCCTCTGTTATCAGAAGCGAACAGTATTCAAAGTGCATTGTGAGAACAAAGTAATACGTTTACCTTGTAGATGATGGACTTGGCATTAAGAAAGAACAGCTCAATGGTGGCATTGTCCTTCAAGTAGGATATACTCTCAATGTAGAACCTGAAAAAACAGAAGAAAATTCTTCAGCGCTGCTACAACGTCAAAGAAAACAGGAGGTATTATTTGACCTTCAGTCCAAGGAAGAAGATTAAAAATCAGAAACATAAATAACACAGGAATAAGGAGGAAACTGAATTATGATGCAGGCTATGGTAGTGTCACCTGCAGATGTGAAAGAAAGGGTGCAGTGATCAAAGTGACCAGAGGGGGGCACACCATACCAAAGGCTGACCCTGTCTGCCAACATCTTTTCACCTCCCCTTACATCAAATCTTTCCCTCAGCATGGTGGCTGGCAACGATCCATTATTGGTTTGTGAGTGTGTGCACATTCCTCAATCTGAATATACAGGCACACAAACACACACACACAGATTGAATGTGCACATGATGCACTTCACACATTGTTTGCCTCTGTGCATCATCAGCAGTGTGCAGTGATTCCACACACATACAGTACGAACGCACACACAGACAGTGTCACATACTGGAGAGAGAAGCACAGTAACCCACTTCTGGCAGAGCGGTGAGCAGGGAACCAACATAATAATGCAGTCTAAATTTAGCTCATGAATGCATGAAGAGCCAGAGGGGAGCTGGGATGGTGCACTAGGAAGCTACTCATTGTTAGCTCCTCTCTGGTGGAGACATATATCAAAAATATTATAAGGAGCAAAGATTCAATTTTCAATTTCACCTTTATTTGTACGTTTACTTAATAAGGTTAAAATCGTACAGCATTATAAAGAGAAACTCAACAATTTCCACTTGAGTAAGCAACAGAGTAGAGCAAAAACTCCCTATTCACAGGACGAAATGCTCTCACGTGCCCTCTGACATATTTCCAGCCGATATCTTTCATCAGAATCCCCATCTGATATGCATACACTTGTACACTCATGCATACATGCATCAAACAGCATGGGTATATGGACTTGATGTATCCCTGCAAGTGTGCATAATGTGTCCGAAGCACGTGTTCCTGTGTGAACACGTGAATGACTGTGTCGATTTGTGCGCGCATGAGTGTGAGTAGGTATTGAGTGCGAGAGATTGTGGGAGGATCAATATTGGTGGGTTTAAATCGCGTTACCCATTGAGCTGGGAGAGAGAATGAGAGGAGCCTTGTCAATATTCAGTGTGAACATTTAATTAAAGCCACAGTGTTGATGAGACATCCACACGCTGCCAGCACAGCAGCAAGCATGCAAAAAGGCACCCACTGAATCAGCAGGGGGTGGGCATCTGCCTCGCATTTTTTTAGGGGAACGCATGCATGGCACAGATACCGTATGAGCATCAAAAAACATAACATGCATGCACCTGCACAGGGACAAACACATTAGAAATCGTATACCGTGCAAATAAAAACAATATGTCCCGATTGATAATAGAGTCAGGCCTGACATTTGGGCTGATTGTCCTTCCATTATCGCCCTGAATCTGAGTATGTATGTGTATGCGCGTAAGAAATGGGGTTGGATGTGCTTGAGAGGGGCTGTAGTCAGCGTGACATTTAGAGGGATTGAGGTTAGAGATTGGAAAAGGGGAGATGAAGCCTCAAAATAGTGTCAGAGTTCACAGTGTCACCACCGCATCCTCAAATACCTATTAGTCTATGTAAATACACACACAGTGACCCTCAGCACCACGGACACACACATACACAGCTGTTTAATACAGTTCTACAGCTGACTCAAAATATAGACAGCGCCATCAGCCAGTTGTTATCAATATAATCTGCAAATTTTGAATGTATTACACATGCGTTACGCAATGACGCCATTGTTTGCTAAACAGGGTACGCAACACGAGGGCTATGTTCTAAGAATAAGATTTCGCTACACAATCACCTCATTGTGTTATGTCTCGAGTTGTGCAGTAAATGTCACCCTGGAAATGACTACTCAGTGACATTGTTTATCACAGTTTTTGTGCGTCACGTTGCTATGCGTGTTGCTAACACAGACTCAGTCCCTGGGGTGTGTATGACATCATCGTGCCATGTTGTATGTGGGGACAGAGAACACCAGTGGACACGAAACAAAGACTTGGCTTTCCCTTTCAGGTTCTCTCTGAGGATGCGCGCGCGTGTGTGTGTGTGTGTGTGTGCGTGTGTGTGTTTTAGGCCGAGAGTAGGTTGGGAGGGTTGTGTTTTGTCAGAAAATCTTTGCTCAGGTAGGTGGCTTTTTCTGTTCCTCTTTTCAATAGCCTATTGAAGATGAAGCACCCACACATGCAATCAAAAAACATACACAAACATGCACTCTTTGTGTTTCTGTGACATGTGCACATAAGATCCGATGCCTGTGTGTGTGAATCAGGAGTGTTTTATATAAGACTGGGGCCATTGTATGAGCAGCACAAAGGGCTGAAAGAGGAGTTTGGAGCGGTGGCATAATTTCATAACCCTGTCACGGCAGGTCAAAGAAGAGCTGGCTTTTAACTGACGAGATGACGCCAATGGAGCAACAACAAGAGGAAGAGCGCATTGAAAGGGGATCTGTCTCATAAGTGGTTGAGTCAAGTACCAGGGTATTTTTTGCACCGTTTAGTGCTGCATTGACAAGTGAACCTTCAACAAACAAGCCTACAACAGTTTTTGTGAAATTGCTTTTTACATTAAAACGCAAAGCACCAACACACCTTTCCCTATAGGCAAGAATTCTGCAGTCTGGTTTGGAGTACGGCATTCTGTTGTCACCATGGAGCTATGTGATGGGATTTGCATGCAGTGCATACTGATGAGGTCTAAGTGGCTCGTGATTGGCTGAGAGGCCCCATGGCGGGAGTTAAACACTGGGGTCAGAGTAATTTCATAGGGGTCTTTCACAACTAATCTTACTAATCTGTTCTTATTACCACATGAATGTACAGTAGGTGCATACCCAAAACAGACACACTAAAATGTTTCTTTCTCTTTTCCCAAACATAACCTCTAATCAGGCAGTGACTTGTAGTGTAAGTGAAGTGATTAAGGTGCTGAACACAGACTCACCTGACACAGAAGTAGAGGACAATGGGACCAGACTTCTTGGGGAATTCATGTTCTAATACCCTTCGGTCCAGCTGCAGCCAGCTAAAATGGCCCCTGATGAGGTAAAACAAACAAACAACCAATCAACGCTATTATTCACAGATGTCCGAATATTCAACAAAAATACACAAAAGTTCATCTCATTACTCTGAACATTTTCTCCTTAAGCCTCCCCATTTGTCTTCTCCTATTACAAGTTCTTCCCTTCTGTCCCCCCACCACCACCACCTCTCTTCCCCTCTTTTTTTTTTCTCTCTCTCCGTTTCCAGCAGAGAGAAAAACTGCAGAGACAGCTTGTCACCCTGGTTACCCTGCATGGTCTCCTGAGCAACTGAGCAACATCTCTCTCAAACTCTCCCTCCTTCCCTCTTTGTGTCTCTCCCTCTCCCCCCCAACACAGTCTCTTTGACCACTGAGTGGTCAAAGCTGAGGCGTCTGCTCTCCCCAGGCACACATAACAAATCTACACATCATAGAATTATCCCCGGGGGACTAAGACTGCAAAGCGGATACTGCTTTGCTGAACTGACATTAGCAGCAGTATGTGTCACAGCCGTGTAAATGCCACAGAGCAGAGGCCAGTCTTGCTTGACATCAGTGGGTGCATGAGATAAAACAAAAAAGAGGAACATAAAGGTCGTGGCAATGTTTGCCTGTATGTAAATCATAGGCATGCCTGCGTAGCTATGAAGCTACTGTGCGTCTGTCTTTCCAGGGTCACAAAACATAATAAAACTAATTTGAATGCCATTTTTGCATTTCAAGCACAGCCTTCTGGCAGTCAGACTCGTGATCTTTGCTATCCCAGAGCAAGACGATCACAGCCTGGAAACATCAAAACCCTTTGTAAAAAGGGATTCTGTCACACATCAGTTAATGGCTGAATGTGACATTCATAGTAATCATGATTCTTTGTTTCGCCAAGAATGGTGGCAGCAGTAGCGGAAAAAATTCCCTTTTGTTTTTAACTGGAAGGCAAGTGAACCCCATAAATAACATATGTAGGCTAAATGTAATTCTTTTTAATTTAAGAGCCATTTCATAATTAAATGAAGTCTACATAAAACAAAAACAAAGCAGTTAAGTATACAAAAGCACCAAGATAATTCCATAGGAATAAATGCAACAGTTACATTTCCACAGTGGTGCTTTTGTACATTTGTACAACTCTTTATTTAATAATAGCTCTCGCCTTTTCAACAGTTTTCAGATTTCCTCACTAATGCAACACTGTTTAGCTGGAGGCTACAGTTTCAGTGGAACAGCAGTCATGTGGAAACACATTTGCAGCAAAAACCTTTAAAATGATAAAACCCAAAACTAATGCATTTAAATGTGTTTTGGCTTCTTCAAGTTATTGCTTGGCAAGACGCAGCATGCTGAAAACAGTATGATATTTGTTTCCTGTGTTTTCTATGACTAGAAATATGCTGACCATCACATCATCACTAACACTGGTTTCAGGCAATCAGTGTGACACTAGCCTTGCATATTATTTGCTTATAGTCTGATACGACCCACATGCTGCTTCAACCATTCCCCTACTAAAAATTAAGTATCAAATCTGCTGTTATCATGGATGTAGTTACAGTGTTATGGGCCAGCACTGAAAAACACAATCCAACAAACAAGATAATCTGAAGACAGACTGATACACCATGTGCATTATAGTTTTCAGTGGAAACAATTTTGGAATGTGACTTACGTTTCATCTGTGTATGCAATTCCAAAGTACTCCTTCTCCTTGAGGTTGAAGTGAGACGCCACGAGGTCCAGCAAGTCCTTAGCCATCAGCTTGGGCTGCAGAGAGGCAGATATGTTAAGACTGGGTTAGGTTATGGTTGTATTTATGAGTCTTGTGTGTCTTGTACGTGAGTGAAGCGGTTTATCACGTTGTCGTTTATTTGTTGCAAGTACATGTGGTAAAGTTCCATGCTAATGTATTATAAGAGTCATTGATTTACTGCAATGACTAAGCATTTTGGCAAACACCAGGGGAAAGAGGAAAAGAGCAAGAGTGGAGGAGATAAATGAGAGAGAGAGAAAGCACGAGAAAGATGGATGGAGTGTGTGGATGTTGCTGACAGTGCAGGTACCCTGCCCTTCCCCTCCCTCCTCTCTCCTTTCTGACCCACACCTCCACTGCAGAGTCATGGCTCTGGGCTGAACCACTGTATTGCAGAGAGAGAGAGAGCTGCAGCTAGCACAACGGCTTCCTAGCAAACTAATATCGTGGAAAACTGTGTGATGAGAACCTCCATTCAAAACAACACCCACAGCATGCAGATCTTTAAGCCAAGCAGAGGCCAGGGACTGCTGCCATATGCTGCTGGTTTGTCACATCCTGAGTAACAGTACGCCCGACCCTGAGGTTAACCATGGGTGTGCCTTGCTGCCTACATTTACACACACACACACAATCTGCATGCACGTATGCACACACAAGACCATGCACAACTTACAAACAGCACACTCCCAGCCTACAGTGGGAGCACATGTGAAGTGCTGCATAGGATAAAGGAGGACAGGAGGATATCGAATGAAACCAAACATCCACACATATGCACACAAACTCCACACAGCTCCATCATAGTGCCACGGCATATACATCCTTAGGAATCTGTTCATACTGCCCTGTAACTATCCACTCACTGCACAGCTACAACTTCAGTGTCAGAAGCTGCTGAGAGCTATTTAAAGAAAAGGAGGTGATGTCATACAGACACCCAGCGCGCGCACACACACACACACACACACGCGCAGATCTCTACTGACCTAGATCCCATATAAGCGCGACGCCTACAGTGATCCTGCTACACATAACGGCTCTGGAGAAATCACAAGTGAAAGAAAGAGCTTGAGGAGAGGTGAACATATAGGTTGATTTGCCCTACATTTGCATGTATAAGATTGTGTTAAATAGAAAACAATAGGGCTACTGTATTAGACGATCATATCTCTGTGTCCCTTTGATGTAATTCTACTAAAAAATCCCTCCGATGCTTGGACAATGAAGGCTCTCATGCTGCATAATCCAAGAACAGGGAGATTATCATTAAACTTTCAATGCATATCCACAGCAAGAATAAGCTCATGAATGTGTTAAATTAGCATTTCTCCTATGGCTGCATGCTATTTGTACATCACAAGCAGCGTTTCTGACCCTCCTCCTCTATGTTTAAGGACTGATCTGTGTGACTCAACCAAAATTGGCATCCACAGTGGCTCTGATTGGCTGTTATTTCTCTAAATGGAAGAGCAGGAACTTGGAAGATCAACACTCAAACCCTTTGAAGTGTTCGGCATATTTTAGATGTGGCAAATTTAGGGCCTGAAACGAAGCTATCTTTATAGTATTAGCAGTAATACGTGTTTTGGTTCAGTCTGAGAAGCGTACAGTGGTGGTCTTTCATTACCACGCAGCAGTCAACTGCCTTGGCAATAATATGAATTAAACAGTGTCACCACGGGGTAACAAACAATGTCAGAGGGGCACACGGGTGCACAGAGTAAAGCAGATGATATAGAAGATAAAACGAACCCCGCGTACACTATCGAACATCTGAAGCGCGTGACTTAAGTTGAATGCTTTCCTGTAAGGTTAGGCTGAGCTTCTCGAAACAACCTTGTTATGAATACCAAGCAGACTGTAAAAAAAAATTACATTGGCAGCACTGGATAGTTTAATTGAGTTTGCTTCCCTCTTCAAGTGACTACACCCACCCTCTCCACAAGCATGCACGACGGCTTATCTGTACGATTGCAGATACCAGATGTGTAATAATGTTGGAGAAGACACCGAAAAAAAAGAAGACAGTGAATGGCAGGCAATATAGTACGTGATAAAGCACACTGAACACGCACGCAATAATAGAAGCACACACTCCAGAAATGTACAGACACATATTACACACACACACAGTATGGAGCCATCTATCAGACGGTGCAGCTCTCTGCTAGCTTAGACAGCATTACTACTAATAGATATTTAGTCGGTGCCTCCTCAGCAGCACAGGTAATTAACAGTGTAAGAATTACAGGGAGGTGCAAGTGAGGAGGAGACACACTAAAGCTAACCCACAGTTAAGTGCCAAACACACAACAGTATCTCACTTGGCTGGCTGGCTGGCAGCAAGTCACGGCCCAATCTCTGCAAACTGCTAGTCAGGCGCTCGGTGCCTACAGACCAGCTCAGATTTATGGGGCGTTAACTGATTTGTCAGGGGCAGTTCATTGAGTCCAAGGCTGTGTAAAGATAAGGTTTTTAGCCACATATCCAGCATTAATTTCTTTCTTTAATCCTTAAAAGTCTGGCTTAAATATTTCAACTAATGCTCTGAAAACAGACTTACGTTGTAGCACTTCCATGTCACGGTACATCAGCAGACATCTTACAGTAAAACCCCCAAAGTGTCTCTGTATTAAAGTCCTTCACGTAAACATTGACATGAAAGAGCAACACTGCTACACAGCTTTAATACTTCATTTACTCTTTATCCTAAACCACTCTAGCTTAAGAAAGTGGGGGTTAGGATAAGGTTAACCCCACCCAGTGGAGCATTTGGTGGCTCCGAAGCTTCCATCTTAACAACCTGCTCAATAGGTGTGCCGTCCCTCAGCCGCATAGTTTCCTGCCAATGAGGCATTGCTCCATAAAGAAACCACAGAGGACGCGCTATCAAAGGTAGGAGGAAGGGAATGAGGAAGAGGAAATGGGTGAATGGCACTTTTGGGATTAAACAGCTGGTCAATGTTGAAAGTCAGTGACAGAAGCGAGATCCAACCTTTCAGAGGCATGTTGGCTAGCGTGTTTGGCATGACTGCAAGAACCTAAACGAAAACCGCAAAAGGACAGACTTGACCACACGGCTGTTGTATGATCAGTGAGGACATTAGCTCAGAAATATGCAATTGTTTGCACTGCCTATAAATTATGAACATTGCTTAAAGAAAACCATCTTTGGAAGCAAGTAGAGGGCTTGACTGTTTCTCAGTTCAGTGGAAAACTAAAAATAATAGTCTAATTCTCTCTGGTCCTAATCTCAACAAGCTGTATCCTGATTTATATGATGCTGCTTTGTGAATAATATCCACTTTTCGGGCTGTTTTGTCATTGCTTCTCTCTTGCTAATACTATTGCCAGTCTGTACACCATTATGTGGTAAACAGAACTGATTTGATCACTCATAACTTATTCGTACTGAACCAGTAAAACGTTTTACATAAATGCTACATAAAACAAAGAATGTTTGTTTCTCAACTTTCATTTTGTTTACTTCCTTGTTATGTCCTCTCTTAATTGCAAAGATGACAAAGAATGAGTGAAGAAACAGGATGGCTGGATGAGATATGGAGTTGCAGCAGCTGTATTTGGAGATTTTGATGGAGACAGGGGCTTGGGAAAGGCAGGTAAAAGCATCCAAATGGATGAATGAGAACAGAAGATATGGAGAGTGAAGAGCGGAAAGCCAGAGAGATAGAGAGAAAGTGGGAGAGGAGCAGAAAGTAGTACCAACTTGAGAGAGAGGATCAGTTCTGGCAGAGTAATCAAATCAGAAAGTCAGCAGACCTATCCTTGGCTCTCCCCTCCATTTTATCCTCTCTATTCCCATCCCTTTAGTGTCATCTCCTGTCTCTCCATTTCTGAGCTCTCATCTCACTTTTCTATTTCTCCCTCTCATCCTCCTGAGTTTGTGCGTCAATCTGTCTATTCTCCGCTTGCTCCTCTTCGCTTGTTCCAGGGCAATTACTTTCTTTTGTCTTTCTGTCTTTTCAGTGGAATCGGCTAATGGTCAGACCAAAGCCAGCTAAGGGAGGTTAGACAGAGTGGAGGGAGCTTCTAATGAATATGTTTCAGTTTATCAAGCTAAAAGAGCAAAAGCGATGACAGAAGTGAACGTAAGAAACACTCAATAAGGAAATCACAAAACCAGGTTTAACCCTGGGTATGGAATAGAGCAGAACAAAGGAGAGCTACACCACAGATTGCTCATTGGAAAGTGTACGGCCTTTAAATGGCAAAGGACAGAGAGATGGGTTTGTTCATTACCACAGAAAGAAAGAAAAAATACGTGCTGGGAGGATTGAAGGATGAAAGAAGGGTCAGTTAAGGAGAAGTAAAGGTTTCTGTTTCAGACTCATTAGATCTGAACTCTATGTCTGGATGCATAAGTTAAATAGGGACAGCAAATCAGAGCTGGAAGCCCGCCTGTGTGTGTCTTTATGTGTGTGTGGAGAGATCAGGTGAGCGCCAAGAAAGCGCAACGTCACCTACTGCTGACCAAATTTCCCTTTGTCAGCAATAATCGAGTCCCTTAGGAGGGCGGACATCGCCTCGCCCTTTCTCTAAGGAAATGAGAATCTGTAAAGTGAGAACGCAAAAAAAAAAGAACGAGCCAAAGGAGGAAGAGGAGGACGAGACGCTCACCTGTACGAGGAGCTCCAGCTTCCTGTCGTCCAGGAGGTGGACCTGACATCGTCGCCCCTCTGTCATCTGAAAAACAGGAGAGAAAAAAAACAATTTATATACATGTTTATAAATGAATTACAGATATTCCATGTTTCAACAATACATATCTGAAGCAGACTTTTGTTTGGGTCTCCGCTGATGCCAGTCACACAAAGAAAATTGCTCAGACTTCCAAATAGATCACAGATTCTGGTCAGTCAAAACAAACAACACGATGCATCCCCACATCAATCAGTACAGTATTGTGAGCCATGTGCTGTATGGCAAGCATGAAGTTTGCATGTCTGTGCAGTATCTCAATGAAGACTTAACAAGTTTAGCCGAGCTAACCGCACACAATGGGCCGATAGAGACAACGTCCTGCTACTCTGTTCCTCACGGACATTTCTCACATTCCTCCTTGATCAGGAAATCCATTTTCCATCAGTGGACTTGTGACCACAGTGAGTGAAGCTGCCTGCTGACAATGCTCACCAGAGTGTTTGTCTGTGTTGCTGATACAAGGTTTGCTGAATAGAGCTGCACAGGAAAAAAAAAAAAAAACTGACAATATCCGTCTGCCAAGTTCAGGCGTAAACAGTGAAGCAGGTGCAATGATGAAACAGTCAACTGTGGGAAAACACGAGTTAGACCAAATAGTTCACCTGACAAACACAGCCAAGCCATCTCCACAAACCTGCCTGAAAGCTTGCTACTGCATAATGGAGTAGCCGCGAATCCAAGACTTAAAAATTCAGTGCAGGAATAAAGTCTGACATTTGGAAACGAGCGAACAAACTGTGCCAGAGTGTGTTCAGCACGTTAGGGAATGTTTGCGTGTCTCTGTGTGTGCCTGTGCATCCTGGTGTTTTTCAGCACATGTGGAGTTTCTCCACAATTTAACAGGAAGTGGGGACCCTGAGGAACACAAACACCCTGTGGCCCCTCCCACACTTCCCTCACATCTGGGAGATGGGGACTGGATGGGGATGGAGGGAGGGAGGTATGTGTGTTGGGGGGGAAATAAGAAAATGTTGGAGAAGAAGGAGAAAGAAGAGACATTCTCCGCCATGTCCCGCCAAAACATGGATGCCATAAACATGAACACAAGCGTAACCGGTTTGTAACTCTTTACCTCGATGATCACAGTGGTCACCTGGGGCTATTGCAATTTGGTAAGGGTGTGTCTTCTTCAGCACAGTTCAACAGACGCCTACTTTCTCACCATTCGTGCCAAGTTGCATCAGGGTGGCAGGCTGGAAGTGAGACTTTAGCGAAGACATGAAGATATGGGAGAAAGCGAGGGAAAGAAGTGACATAGCTGTGCCTCAAGACTCATCCCTGTGTGAACTCCCCTTCAATGGCTACTGGTGTGTGTGTGTTTGTGCATGTGTGTAAGGCTTCTAGCCGCTCTGCAGGACTCGGTTTACCCTCCCACTCGCCATTGATCTCCTGTGGTTTGAGGGTTTAGATTGGGTGCACCTGTGCACACAGTCAGCGACACACACACCCTCACATTTTCCAACGTCGCCTTTTGTTTTCATCTCCTGCCCTCCTGTCTTGGAGTTACATTACCTTTTCCAAAAACCTTCTGTGTTTACACTGTACACAGTGATTTTAATTATGACCATAACTACTCTTGAGTGGCGGGTCAGACATGTTTTGTTATATAAGTAGCATAACAACTCTGAGATGCCACAAATAGACCAGTTGCAAGCTTCTCTCTCAATTACTGAGGCCAGAAGAGAGGACAAAACTGCAGTGTACTGACCAAAACACCTCACTAAAGTATCTTGTCTGCAGAATAGTTTAAACTGCAATGCAGACAGTGCACTGTATACACACACAAGTATCTCACCGGCACTGAGCTGGAGGCAACCTGGGAATACAGCAAACCTTAACGTCAAGGTAACAAATCACCGGCCCCAGGCTAAAATTAGGCAGCACGATCTGGCAGACACAGATGCTTATTGGTTTTAGTCATAAAATTCACTTTGCGGTATTGGGCACATGCTACTGAGCTTCTATCCACCATGAAACCAAATGTCATAAAGTCTCTATGAATAGCTTTCTGCCATTGAAAAAAAAAAGGGGGTTGAAAAGCAAGAAGATGAGGAATATTTCAACCTGATGTAATGCTGCTACAAATGTGAGCCACTTCTTAGCATGACTGAATGTACACAGCATCCTGACACTACATTACAGTGTAGTTCCAGACCCTTAAACGCAACACATGTGGTTGTAGCTGCTTCACCTTGGCGTGTGATTCATCCTGCGTGTAATCCACCAACATTTCTGACCCATTACTTGTCAGGTTTGAACTAGCTTAACAAACATCTCCAGGCCTGACTCACTGGCAAGAAACGCTGAGATTAAAAAAAAAAAAAAGCAGAAGACTATAACCTCACAGTGCTGTATAAAGCAGCCATGTTCGCAGTGTTTCATTATTTCGCAGGAGCTGACACCCAAATTACAGACAGACACACACTAACAGACAGTTGACAGTGATGCTCGGTCAGTGAATGCGACGGTTATCATTAGTACCTTTCAAACAAACGCTCCCGGCGAGTCTTCCCACACAGAAACCGGGGCTCCAAAAAAAAAAAAAAGGAGTAGAAAAAAACAACAACACCAGAATTGTTAATCCCAAAAAGACACGAGTCGTGTTACTGCCAGAAAATCGTCAAAAAACACCAATTTTCCTGGCCGGCCTAGAGGAGGAGGCACATCAGCATCCATGTTTGTGTCCATTAGTTATCGTTAGTTACGAGCGGCGCGGCTGCCTTGTCCTGTAAACACCGCCGTTATCTCATGTCTCCGCCAAAAAAAATACAAATAAAAAATAAAAAAGCAAACAACTAATTCACCGTTTTCCTCTCATCCCTCCTTCGAGAAAAGCCTCACGGTGTTAGTGCCCGGTCCTCCAGTACACTCCCCCCCCCCCGCGCACTCTCTGCCTCTTTCCTCGCTACCGGCACCGTGTGATAAGCAGTGGGGGGACCGTACCAACGGACAGCAGCGGCGGGGGGGGCACGACGGCAAGAAAGCGTTCCGGTCACTCGTGTTCCGCCTATGTTTCTGTCGCCTGTCATCGGGAGTTGCTTCGAAAAAAAAAAAGAAACGGAATAATGGAGGCGAGATGTGGGGGCGGGGAGAGGAGGAGATGAGGGGGAATTTTCTGCAGCAGCCATGAGAAACTGCAGACCTCGATCCGTGTGTGTGTGTGTATATGTGTTCCGTGTGTGTGTGTGCGTGCGCATACACCCAAACAGACATCTGTGTCTGCAGAGCACACACCAATAGTCTGCCGTTAAACCAAGTGATAAATAACAAACGAGCCCAGTCTGCCTGCTCCATGAAACCAGTCCTACTTCCAGAAAGCTGCACTCTTAGTAGGGGGGAGGCAGGGTTCCCTTGAAAGACCCTATCCTCATATGACTGATCACTTTATTACCATGCATGGAGCTCAGGCTGACAGATTTCCATAGTTCCAAATGCTGAGATGATTATCTACTCTGCAAAAAAAAAATACAAAGTAAGAGCTCAGTCTTTCAATCACCTTGCCTGAATGAGTTCTGGCCTTCAGTCCAGTGTAGCCGTTGGACCAGCTCTCACTTTTTCCTTTTTTTTTGTATGACCTAAATTGGGCACTTGTGTTCACCTTACACAGCTGGAACAGCAGCCGTTTGAAACCACAAGCCGTTAACAAAATCAATCCGGTTTATGGTACCATAAATAGATACTAATGTGTGCAGCAAAAGGCACGGCTGAGCGAGCCTATAGGCAAACCCTCTGTCGATGCAGTGTTTGCATGACTCAGCCAGTCGCTTTTCTATTGTATCACAACATGAATAAATCCCCGTGTTATGAAAACAGCGTGAGCCCACGTGTAAAGCACACATATATGTGGAGTTCATCTCATCTGTCAGCATTCAGCGTCTATATGGATCCTCCTAACTTTTCATACTGTATATAATGAATGCAGATTGTCTGAGCCAAAAACACCATATTTGAAATATAGACTAATCCCATCTTGCAGCATTCATCAGAAATGCTCCCCTCCCAGACATTGAGCAATATGAAGATGCAATTAAATTTAATGTGCTTGGCTTTGCTGCTACCATAGCGTATCCTGCAACCCCCCCCCCTCCCCAATTCAGCTTAGTTTGCTAAATGTAGAGGGTCACATGAGAAACGAGGAGGTGTATCCTTTCCCTCCTCTGCTGGATTTTTCTGTTTCTGGATATTTTTGGCCTGCTCCAGACACCGGAAACTGGCCTGTCCAACTTAAACATCTCCAGATGACTCTCTCTTTGGCTTTAATACATACACCCGTCCCTCGTTTTCTTTCTCCGGTCAAATACATATCTCCCTTTATTGGTAGCTTCCTCCGTTTGCTATCACAAGGGCCCTGTTGTTTGACCATTGCAAGGCAGGGAGAAAGAACGGGGGACAAAGCAGGCGGTGGAGAAATAGGGTAAAGCTGACAAAGACAGAAGAGGGAGCGCAAGGAAAAAAAAATTAAAACTTGCCGAAGCAAGATCCTGAACACCTAAACTACACGAGTTTGTGAATTATTGTTCCTGTTTGGAATGGATGCGTGTAGCTCCAGAGAAGCTGAATGAATTCACTAAAATAAGACAGAGAGGAAAAGGAAGGAAGAAAGGAAGCAAGGCAGGAAAGAACAATAACAAGCAGCTGTGATTTACTGCGCCGCTCTGTCCAATGTTCATGCCACTTATCTTCCCTATACATGCTCACCTTTCTGTGACCTACGGCGAGTATTGCCAAGAAGCACAAGGTGAGAAACACTTGTAGGTGTGATGTATCTGGGCTCCGACTCCAGCCTTGTTATGGAGCCGGTGGGCTTCTATTCTGGGCTGAGGTGTGGGTGTAATGAGGTGCTGATCTGGTGTATTTCTACGGAGTTCGGGTCCAAAGGGAAAGACGTGAATGGGTGAGGCGGGTTTAACAAGGGGTGGGCGTTCGAGTCAGGTTTTAGGGTCGAGCGGGGGGACGGGGTTTGATGGTCTGCGCTGGAAAAG